GACCCAGGCAGGAGTATTATTAGAGTTTGAATACAGTGTTGACCCAGGCAGGAGTATTATTAGAGTTTGAATACAGTGTGGACCCAGGCAGGAGTATTATTAGAGTTTGAATACAGTGTGGACCCAGGCAGGAGTATTATTAGAGTTTGAACACAGTGTGGACCCAGGCAGGAGTATTATTAGAGTTTGAATACAGTGTGGACCCAGGCAGGGGTATTATTAGAGTTTGAATACAGTGTGGACCCAGGCAGGAGTATTATTAGATTTTGAATACAGTGTGGACCCAGGCAGGAGTATTATTAGAGTTTGAACACAGTGTGGACCCAGGCAGGAGTATTATTAGAGTTTGAATACAGTGTGGACCCAGGCAGGAGTATTATTAGAGTTTGAATACAGTGTGGACCCAGGCAGGAGTATTATTAGAGTTTGAATACAGTGTGGACCCAGGCAGGAGTATTATTAGAGTTTGAATACAGTATGGACCCAGGCAGGGGTATTATTAGAGTTTGAATACAGTGTGGACCCAGGCAGGGGTATTATTAGAGTTTGAATACAGTGTGGACCCAGGCAGGGGTATTATTAGAGTTTGAATACAGTGTGGACCCAGGCAGGGGTATTATTAGAGTTTGAATACAGTGTGGACCCAGGCAGGGGTATTATTAGAGTTTGAATACAGTGTGGACCCAGGCAGGAGTATCATTAGAGTTTGAATACAGTGTGGACCCAGGCAGGGGTATTATTAGAGTTTGAATACAGTGTGGACCCAGGCAGGAGTATTATTAGAGTTTGAATACAGTATGGACCCAGGCAGGGGTATTATTAGAGTTTGAATACAGTGTGGACCCAGGCAGGGGTATTATTAGAGTTTGAATACAGTGTGGACCCAGGCAGGAGTATTATTAGAGTTTGAATACAGTGTGGACCCAGGCAGGAGTATTATTAGAGTTTGAATACAGTGTGGACCCAGGCAGGGGTATTATTAGAGTTTGAATACAGTGTGGACCCAGGCAGGAGTATTATTAGAGTTTGAATACAGTGTGGACCCAGGCAGGAGTATTATTAGAGTTTGAATACAGTGTGGACCCAGGCAGGGGTATTATTAGAGTTTGAATACAGTGTGGACCCAGGCAGGAGTATTATTAGAGTTTGAATACAGTGTGGACCCAGGCAGGAGTATTATTAGAGTTTGAATACAGTGTGGACCAAGGCAGGAGTATTATTAGAGTTTGAATACAGTGTTGACCCAGGCAGGAGTATTATTAGAGTTTGAATACAGTGTGGACCCAGGCAGGAGTATTATTAGAGTTTGAATACAGTGTGGACCCAGGCAGGAGTATTATTAGAGTTTGAATACAGTGTGGACCCAGGCAGGAGTATTATTAGAGTTTGAATACAGTGTGGACCCAGGCAGGAGTATTATTAGAGTTTGAACACAGTGTGGACCCAGGCATGAGTATTATTAGAGTTTGAATACAGTGTGGACCCAGGCAGGAGTATTATTAGAGTTTGAATACAGTGTGGACCCAGGCAGGGGTATTATTAGAGTTTGAACACAGTGTGGACCCAGGCAGGAGTATTATTAGAGTTTTCAATACAGTGTGGACCCAGGCAGGGGTATTATTAGAGTTTGAATACAGTGTGGACCCAGGCAGGAGTATTATTAGAGTTTGAATACAGTGTGGACCCAGGCAGGAGTATTATTAGAGTTTGAATACAGTGTGGACCCAGGCAGGAGTATTATTAGAGTTTGAATACAGTGTGGACCCAGGCAGGAGTATTATTAGAGTTTGAATACAGTGTGGACCCAGGCAGGGGTATTATTAGAGTTTGAATACAGTGTGGACCCAGGCAGGAGTATTATTAGAGTTTGAATACAGTGTGGACCCAGGCAGGAGTATTATTAGAGTTTGAATACAGTGTGGACCAAGGCAGGAGTATTATTAGAGTTTGAATACAGTGTGGACCCAGGCAGGAGTATTATTAGAGTTTGAATACAGTGTGGACCCAGGCAGGAGTATTATTAGAGTTTGAATACAGTGTGGACCCAGGCAGGGGTATTATTAGAGTTTGAATACAGTGTGGACCCAGGCAGGAGTATTATTAGAGTTTGAATACAGTGTGGACCCAGGCAGGAGTATTATTAGAGTTTGAATACAGTGTGGACCCAGGCAGGAGTATTATTAGAGTTTGAATACAGTGTTGACCCAGGCAGGAGTATTATTAGAGTTTGAATACAGTGTGGACCCAGGCAGGAGTATTATTAGAGTTTGAATACAGTGTGGACCCAGGCAGGAGTATTATTAGAGTTTGAACACAGTGTGGACCCAGGCAGGGGTATTATTAGAGTTTGAATACAGTGTGGACCCAGGCAGGAGTATTATTAGAGTTTGAATACAGTTTGGACCCAGGCAGGAGTATTATTAGAGTTTGAATACAGTGTGGACCCAGGCAGGAGTATTATTAGAGTTTGAATACAGTGTGGACCCAGGCAGGAGTATTATTAGAGTTTGAATACAGTGTGGACCCAGGCAGGGGTATTATTAGAGTTTGAATACAGTGTGGACCCAGGCAGGAGTATTATTAGAGTTTGAATACAGTGTGGACCCAGGCAGGAGTATTATTAGAGTTTGAATACAGTGTGGACCAAGGCAGGAGTATTATTAGAGTTTGAATACAGTGTGGACCCAGGCAGGAGTATTATTAGAGTTTGAATACAGTGTGGACCCAGGCAGGGGTATTATTAGAGTTTGAATACAGTGTGGACCCAGGCAGGGGTATTATTAGAGTTTGAATACAGTGTGGACCCAGGCAGGAGTATTATTAGAGTTTGAATACAGTGTGGACCCAGGCAGGAGTATTATTAGAGTTTGAATACAGTGTGGACCCAGGCAGGAGTATTATTAGAGTTTGAATACAGTGTTGACCCAGGCAGGAGTATTATTAGAGTTTGAATACAGTGTGGACCCAGGCAGGAGTATTATTAGAGTTTGAATACAGTGTGGACCCAGGCAGGAGTATTATTAGAGTTTGAACACAGTGTGGACCCAGGCAGGAGTATTATTAGAGTTTGAATACAGTGTGGACCCAGGCAGGGGTATTATTAGAGTTTGAATACAGTGTGGACCCAGGCAGGAGTATTATTAGAGTTTGAATACAGTGTGGACCCAGGCAGGAGTATTATTAGAGTTTGAATACAGTGTGGACCCAGGCAGGAGTATTATTAGAGTTTGAATACAGTGTGGACCCAGGCAGGAGTATTATTAGAGTTTGAATACAGTATGGACCCAGGCAGGGGTATTATTAGAGTTTGAATACAGTGTGGACCCAGGCAGGGGTATTATTAGAGTTTGAATACAGTGTGGACCCAGGCAGGGGTATTATTAGAGTTTGAATACAGTGTGGACCCAGGCAGGGGTATTATTAGAGTTTGAATACAGTGTGGACCCAGGCAGGGGTATTATTAGAGTTTGAATACAGTGTGGACCCAGGCAGGAGTATTATTAGAGTTTGAATACAGTGTGGACCCAGGCAGGGGTATTATTAGAGTTTGAATACAGTGTGGACCCAGGCAGGAGTATTATTAGAGTTTGAATACAGTATGGACCCAGGCAGGGGTATTATTAGAGTTAGAATACAGTGTGGACCCAGGCAGGGGTATTATTAGAGTTTGAATACAGTGTGGACCCAGGCAGGAGTATTATTAGAGTTTGAATACAGTGTGGACCCAGGCAGGAGTATTATTAGAGTTTGAATACAGTGTGGACCCAGGCAGGGGTATTATTAGAGTTTGAATACAGTGTGGACCCAGGCAGGAGTATTATTAGAGTTTGAATACAGTGTGGACCCAGGCAGGAGTATTATTAGAGTTTGAATACAGTGTGGACCCAGGCAGGGGTATTATTAGAGTTTGAATACAGTGTGGACCCAGGCAGGAGTATTATTAGAGTTTGAATACAGTGTGGACCCAGGCAGGAGTATTATTAGAGTTTGAATACAGTGTGGACCCAGGCAGGGGTATTATTAGAGTTTGAATACAGTGTGGACCCAGGCAGGAGTATTATTAGAGTTTGAATACAGTGTGGACCCAGGCAGGAGTATTATTAGAGTTTGAATACAGTGTGGACCCAGGCAGGGGTATTATTAGAGTTTGAATACAGTGTGGACCCAGGCAGGAGTATTATTAGAGTTTGAATACAGTATGGACCCAGGCAGGGGTATTATTAGAGTTTGAATACAGTGTGGACCCAGGCAGGGGTATTATTAGAGTTTGAATACAGTGTGGACCCAGGCAGGAGTATTATTAGAGTTTGAATACAGTGTGGACCCAGGCAGGAGTATTATTAGAGTTTGAATACAGTGTGGACCCAGGCAGGGGTATTATTAGAGTTTGAATACAGTGTGGACCCAGGCAGGAGTATTATTAGAGTTTGAATACAGTGTGGACCCAGGCAGGAGTATTATTAGAGTTTGAATACAGTGTGGACCCAGGCAGGAGTATTATTAGAGTTTGAATACAGTGTGGACCCAGGCAGGGGTATTATTAGAGTTTGAATACAGTGTGGACCCAGGCAGGAGTATTATTAGAGTTTGAATACAGTATGGACCCAGGCAGGGGTATTATTAGAGTTTGAATACAGTGTGGACCCAGGCAGGGGTATTATTAGAGTTTGAATACAGTGTGGACCCAGGCAGGAGTATTATTAGAGTTTGAATACAGTGTGGACCCAGGCAGGGGTATTATTAGAGTTTGAATACAGTGTGGACCCAGGCAGGAGTATTATTAGAGTTTGAATACAGTGTGGACCCAGGCAGGAGTATTATTAGAGTTTGAATACAGTGTGAGCCCGACAGAAAAACAGTGACCCAGATCGTGGAGCAGGTGGCAGTCGGCACACACAAGACATGGTGGAGGAACCGGTCCCACAGCCCGCTGGGGAGAAGGCGGTACATTTCCATACTGTATCTACTGTATCTATGCAAATGAGGCGGGTGGTGGGGACCTGCCGCAACCCCCCCCCCCATGCCCCCACCGCCGTAATCAGCACGTCAGAGTTAGGGGGACAGGGAGCTGTAATGGGGAGATGTGATCACCCTCCTGAGCCGCGATGAGAGGGTTGTGATCGTGACAGACGTGTGTGTTACAGTCAGTACAAGTCAAGGAGTATGACAGCAAAAGGTTCACATGCGCCTCGGACACTTGGAATCTTTGAAAATGAAATATGCTAATTCCATGTTTCTGACGCCCCGATTCCATGCATCCAAGTTTCCGGATTTACAAATTAAATGGGTTTGTTCACACTAAAGGGCACAAAAGTGTGACTAAAGGCCAAAAATATGATTTTAATAATCAGTAGATATTTTATGTTTTTCATGAATCCAAACACCTCCTCTGTCCGTTAGAAGTTTCTAGAACAAAACTGTTTTATACATTAGACAAGTTTCCTGAAGCGACGGACGTGATGATTTGACGGAATTAGCTGCGGAAGTTTGTTACATATTTTCAGATCCACATTTGATTCAGAGATTCTATTTTTTTACACAAAGTAGAAACAGTGACACTTTCATATTAAACCAATTAAATGTGAAAACAGACCCACATTTTTTTTCTCAAGTTTAATTTTTAGAGAAAAATGGACGGAAAGCAACTTGTCCGTTACACATTTTTTTACTTTTATTAACGATTCCTTTTTATATCAAGTGATTTTTCTGATGTTGTGTTCACCATGATAATCTTGTGGGATTTCAGCTGCTGCTTTTTCAGACTGAGGACAATTTATTTTCTATGTAACCGGCATCACAGTAGAATGGTCCAATCTGAGGCTCATTTGGTCGTTTAAAATGTCGCCAAAAATATATTTGTCAATCTTTCCTTTGATTTTATCCACACTATCTTTTCAATGTGTCTGTGTTTGAAATCTTTTTTCCCATCTATGATAGTATTTTTAGCTTTTAAGTTATAACCTTTTAAATTCCAGATACTTTAATTGACACTTTGCTGTGAACACACTCATATATGAAATAAGGCGGCGGCAGAGGCTCAGTTGGTCAAGCGTTGGCCTTTGTGCCGGGAGGTCATGGGTTCGAGCCCACCCCGAGACCTTCTCCACCGACTCCCACTGATGTCTGCTGTCGCTGTGTCCTTGGGCAAGACACTTAACCCACTTTGTCTGAAGCCCCCGCTGAAAGATCACCACTTGTGAATGGGTTACAGCTCTGACTCCGCCCCCCAGACCCAAAAATGGATTAAGGGGAAGACAATGGAGACAAATATGAAAAATGGTTTAATAAACTTTGCATTTGTTAAAAGATTTTAGTTATTGCATTAAGTGATTTGTTTTACTATAAAGCACTACTTATAATAGAACAATAACCTTCTCCTAGTGGACAAACGCTGACATGACATCTAGTTAAGAAATAAGAAACTAATATGTGGCAATGAGGTTTAGAATAACAATAAAAATGACCTGACAGAAGAATAACAAAAATTTACTTAAGATTTCTGAAATCAAGAAAGTAAAACTCTCCCCAAATGACTTGATTCTAGTTTAAAAACATATATTTCAAGTATTATTTACTTATTTCTTGAACATCTTTGGGAAATGTTTTCTTAAAATATGGCACAACAAACTTATTTTATTTAAACGAGTAAAGCTGTCTGGAAATAACAGAAGATAGAGCATAAAAAACTGCTCAGACATTTCTCTCTAAAAAGATTATGAAGTATCTTAAAACTGGTAAAATAATCTCATGACAAACAACATTCAAGCAAAAATAACTTTAAAACAACAAGCATCATTTATGTCATTTTTTTGTAAATAAATATTGCCAAGACTAGTTTAACAGACTTTTTTCAGTGACTAATGTCTTTCCACGTGACGCAAATCGTGACGTAAGACTGTCTTTAAAATGCATGTCCCGAAAGAACGGCTTTTCGACACTATACATACTTTAAAACACATGTTTTACTCACAAAAACTGAAAAAACATGTCATTTCAATGCTTTACTCATAAAATCTCGCCCTTGACTCTTTACTGTACGGACACATTTCATGCTAGGGCTGCGTGGTAATTGAAAAACACATTAGTTGGAGTAAAAAACGCAAGGCCAAAGCGTCCATAGAAGAAGAAGACAAATCTCTGGGTAAACAATTGGCCTTTTTCGTCAGATTCCCGCCGCTGAAGTGTGACACGGCTCTTGCGTACATGACATTCAGAAACAACCATCTCCGACTTTATTCAAATGAGGCTTGTTTAGGGCCCGGTGCATGTGTGGCGATGGGGCCCTTCTTTACGCCGGTGCTCATTCTTGGCCTGTACATGAATTATGCATTTGTTGTGCTCCGTGGCTTCCTCCGCGCTGGAATGTTGACACCTCAAGCAGAACAATTTATCAAAAAAAGTTATCTACCGTGCAGTCCGGACTACTGGGCGAGGTATGTAAATTCTGTGATTTATCTGTGGCGCCATGACAAGCGAGTAAAAAGTGGCAAAGTGGTGGTGTCAGTGAACTTTGGGGCTTGGCGGAGCGGGTAAGCGGCCACTGCCCCCGTCTCTCTCGGACCGGAGCGCTTCTTAAATCACACCTTGTCACGCCGGGAACAAGTGGGTCAGCGGGGGAATGGATGGCCTATAGGAGCAAAGTGAGTTTTGTTATCTGTGAGGCCACGGGGAGGAGGGGGGTAGGAGGGGGGGGAGGAGGGGGGGAGTACAGCGGCTTTGTGTTAAGGATGATGTACGATCTGGAGAGGTGACCACTCAGCCCCAAACAGCGGCTGATAGATGTCGGAGGCGGTGCGAACGATAATGCAAGAAAAGTTTACAGTCTATCAACAATTTGTGTCCATTTTTGTATTTAGTTTTGAATGAGCTAAAAAACAGCTGCGAGTCCAAAGTGTTTCTGAAACAGGTGTGGTTTTGTGTTTTACAATTGTTATTTTACACCTTTTTCTACTTGAGATTTTGCTGCAGTTCAGTGTTCATGGTTTTACACTGGTCCAGACCAGAGCAGAGAGGATTCATGGTTTTACACTGGTCCAGACCAGAGCAGAGAGGATTCATGGTTTTACACTGGTCCAGACCAGAGCAGAGAGGATTCATGGTTTTACACTGGTCCAGACCAGAGCAGAGAGGATTCATGGTCCGAACCAAGTGGATCAGGTGAAAATCCACTGGAGGAATGCTAACTTTTTGAAACTTGCTAACAAAGTATTTAGCATTTTACTTTGGACCAGAGCAGAGAAAATGAACCGAACCAAGTGGCTGCTCCACCTTGTGACCCGTCCTGCTCCACCCAGAGGCTACTCCACCTCTGCTGCTGTGACCTGAAGGGCTGTTGTTGATTATTACTATTGTTAGCTTTTTAGAATGATGTATATTTTTTTCTGCTTCTGGACACCTGTATTTCTCCAGCGGGGATCAATAATCTACCTACCTACCCATCCATCCATCCATCCATCCATCCACCTACCCACCCATCTACTGTATCTATCTAACTATCTGGTGCATTGTGGTATATGTTAGCGACTTCCTGCACTGACAGACAGCGGCGCCTGTCATTCTCCGCCAGGGCAGGATGAGACTTTTATTATTCGCAACAAGCAGATCACATAAACACGGCAGCCGCAGAGCTAATTCTGTACGCGCTCACACAGGTGTCTCTTGATGTTGATGCAGGTGTGCACGGGAGTGAGAAGCATCAAGGCTAAAATGAGCAGAAACAACAAAGAAGGATTTTTTTCTTTTTTTTTACTCTTGCGCCTCATTTTCCAGAACCTCTAAGCTACAAACAGTTTCATACAACATTTGCTCTCATTATGGGAGAGCATTAAAGGGCTTCACTTTGTTTCCTTTATGCCTTAGTATAGTCAAAATACATTACTATTTGATCCTATTTCACATGCCGTCTGAATGTGAATTTCAATGTCAGCACTTGGATCAAGATAACAAGGCCTCATCTACAATTCCTCGTGTTGGTGGAGATATGCAAGCGGTAAAACACCATTTTACACATGCTGCTTTTTTCATCCATACATCCATCTTCTTCCTTCCTTCAAGGCTGTACCGTCACCAACCACCGCCTTGATCTTTCAGCAGGACTTCAGGCAAAGTGGGGTTAAGTGTCTTGCAACAGCAGACATCGCTGGGAGTCGGTGGAGAAGGTCTAGTACACTCTATAGCAACGGAGCCACTGTCGAATTTTTATTTTATTCTAGTTATTGTTCATTTATCTTGTGCTGTGTGCTGCTCATTCTTACCGTTCTGTACCTGGTGACGCAACACTGACATTTCCCCGCTGTGGGACGAATAGAGGATCTCTTATTATCATTGAAACTTCTGTGAAAACAATGTACATAACAACCTTTTCTGATTAATAATGATATCACTTATTAGCCTAGGGACTACGGATGAAAACTAGCTTGGTAGCTATAATCTGGCATATTTACATTAGTTTTATACTGATGTTCATTAATGTGCATTGTCCTGATCAAATCAAAAGATAAATGGCTAAACTAACATGAAAAATGATTGTTTACTATCAGATGTGCTTACAGCTGGTCATTTACAATTGTGAATGAAACACAGGATACATTAAACATCGCCCTCTAGTGGTAGCTTCACACTTTTTTGGACACTCAAAGACGCTTTACATGTCATTATTCTTTCACTCCAAAACACAGTGGTGATAAACAACTACTGTGGCCACATCTGCCCTGGGGCACACTGACAGAAGCGAGGCAACCAGTCTCTGCCATCAGCCCCTCCCACCGCCACCAACTATTCACACACACCAGGCTCATTCTAATGTGGGGGAAGTGTCTTGCCTAAGAACACAACCACAGATTTGGCATTTTACAGCCGCAGCCGCCCCACTGTGGCACCTGGTGTTCTGAGAGGTCTCCCATCACAGTACTAACCAGGCCGTCCGGCTTAGTTTCAGAGGTCTGACAGGATCTACCTTTCACATGCAAGTATGAGAGTCAATTATAGATCCAGTTTGAGCTCCTCCACATGCGGCTTGGATG